TAGAATCAATAAAGCTCAAAGCCCCAAGGCCCAATCAAAGACTTTTTAATATAGTGCGTGAGGCGTGGCTTGAACACCTGACCTCCCACATAAATTCCACACTTTTCACCAGTGGGGCACTTCATCTTAATTAGTTATTTCTTTCACATATTATATTTATTGTATAAATATATAACAATGGTCAATGATTCGAAACATGGCATGTCCCTTTTAGTTGCTTTCATTCCAGCTGTTTGGAGATGGGTTTCTTATCGAAAACAAAGATAAAGAGGTACGCACATCTTTCAAAAGTCGATATGCCACATACAGGAAGCCCAAACACGCCACTATTCCATGGCATGCTTTAAGTCTCTCGCACGCAACATATAATAGCACTAATAAAGAAATTATAGTGTTTATCTTACTGTAGTCATTTTTTAGTAAGTCCAAACTAATTATGGCTGAATAATCTTTTATTTGATCATTACTTTCGAAACTTCGATTTTCAATCAAACATTTTAATGAATCATAAGTACAATTAATTTATTAATCATTTATTAGAGTAATGCTATTCATCCCCACTGGGGATGAAAACACAGTCTAGATGGTGCTAATGTGGCATTAAATGATAGGTGAAATTAAATAAATCATTTAATTTCACCTTTCATTTAGCACCACCTAAACTGTGTTTTCATCTCCACTGGAGATGAATAATATTACTCTTTTTTCAAATAATGGTTGTCAAACATGACTAAAATTCAATTATGTTTGCACTTTCGAGAGGTGGGAGACAAGGGGTATCAATAATTTGACGAGTTTTGCTATTTGTACACCGAGATTGACACCACCCTCACGATAGAGGGGCCACGAAAAATAAAAAAAATCATGGACTCCCCTATTGTGATGAACGATGTGTCAACCATACATAGCAAAACCCTAATTTGACAAGCCATTTCTGTCAACTCCACAGTGTAATCAACACTTTTTGTGAGCTTAATCAGTTCGCGTACAACTTGGACGGAAAATTATTCTTAAATTTAAGGTCCGGCTAAACTAGTCTTAATTCTTGGCCGAGGATTGACATAGTTGTCCTCGCTTAAATATGGCACACAAATTATTTAGCCGATGTTTGATCCCATTAAAACTTGGGTGTTACAAGGTTTTACGAATGTCAACATGAAGAAGAAGGAGAGGCACATCACATGGGTTTGGGATAAGGTTTTAACACCATCTGCATTATTATAAATAAATAAATCATGGAGATAATTCCAAAGGTCCACACTACCTTTAAACTTGCTTCTTATGTCAATTATATTTGCTAATTCTATAGTCAACTCATTTGGGACACATAACTACAATTATCAAACCAATTCGTTAATAACTTGAAAATGCAAGGTGTAATTTTCATTTTATAGAAGATAGATAAAATAATATTCTCTCTCATGCCAAAATATCAATTTTAAGTGACATGATAATTTAATTGGACCTATATTTAACACTGCATTATAATTTTTTTGCTTTGTTTAGTAACAGTTCAAATGGGCCCACATGTCCATTTTTTTATTTGGAAGGTGACAACGTTAGACAGCAAGCGGCCTAAAGTTTATCTCTTTATCCTTTAGTATGGCCCAGTAAAGAGAGACACAGAGCCCATTTGAGCCCACCTCGGCAAAACCTTATCCATTTTCCCTCTCTCTTGTATGATTAAAGTGTCTAGTGCACTCACTCCCATATTATTAATCCTGGACCCTACTCTCAATTACATTTGTCAAAAATTATTTACAACTGCTAGCGAAGAAAAGGGAACATAGTGTCTAGTCATCAATTTGACACTATGAGTTACTTCTATTTAGATAGTAAACACAATGACAAAAGTCGCTTAATCTTGCAAACTATGTTACATGTTTCATAAATTATCGATCAAATAACTTTTAATTTTTACTATGTAGGAAAGGAATCAATTTTTGACCATTCATTCCCAAAAAAGCAATCATCTTATTTTGTAAACGAAATATCGACAGATGGTGCATGGTAACTACTATGGGAATGCACACTCTTAATTCTGCCCATTTTGAAAAAGGTTCTCAAACCGTCTACTTTCTTGAAAAATCGATGGATACCTATACAGTGAGCGCCACGTGTCACCACCATATCCTAAATAACTGTGAGCTTACTCTATTATAAATGAAGGAATATCAAACCCTGCCCCTTCACCACACATCATCAATCAAATTCTTAATTCTTCAATCACTCAGTCAAAATTGATACTATGAATGAACAAGAATTAATCCCAGAATTACCGGAAGAACTTGCTTTGGAGTGCTTGACTCGGTTGCACTACTCAGCGCACCGAGTTTCATCCCTTGTATGCAGACGTTGGCGGGAGCTTATTCGGAGTAGGGATTTCTATTACCATCGGAAGCGAACTGGGTTCACTCGGAAAGTAGCATGCCTCGTTCAAGCAATACCAGTTCATGATTCCGAGTCGAAGCCGGTGGGTCAGCCCAGGTATGGGATTTCAGTGTTTGATCCGGTGTCTCGGTGTTGGGACTGGGTTGAACCGGTACCGAAGTACCCAGATGGGTTGCCTTTGTTCTGCCAAGTTGCCAGTACTGAAGGGAAGCTTATTGTGATGGGAGGATGGAACCCATCGAATTGGGACCCGGTTAAGGACGTGTTTGTGTACGATTTCACGACTCGGAGGTGGGTTCAGTGTGCTGATATGCCCTCAACTCGGTCATTCTTTGCCATGGGGACTGTGGAAGGGAAAGTCTTGATTGCTGGAGGGCATGACGAGAGCAAAAACGCCTTGAAAACAGCGTGGCTCTTTGACATCAAGAAGAATGAGTGGGTTGAGTTGACCCGGATGAGTGAGGAACGAGACGAATGTGAAGGGATAATAATTGGGTCTGAATTTTGGGTGGTGAGTGGATACGACACCGAGTCGCAAGGCGCGTTCAAAAAGAGCGCAGAGGTTTATGATCTGAGTACTGGTGAGTGGAGGCGAGTTGAGGAGGCGTGGAGGGCGAGTCAGTGTCCGAGATCATGTGTTGGCGTGTTGGGTGGAAACTTAATTTGCTGGGCGGAGTTAGACTCGGGTGTACGAGTCGGGACGTGTGGTTTCGAGGTTGGGGATCGGAGCCTGGTTACAGGGTCAGCTTATCAGGGTGCACCACATGGGTTCTTTTTGGTGGATAAGAAAGAAGGGCAAAATGGAAAACTCGTGAAAATCATCGATGGGTCTCTCGATTTTTCTGGTCTTGTGCAATCAGGATGCTGTGTGGAAATTTAAAAATTTTGATATGATATCTGAGTATGGCAATGAAATGTTGTGTTGTATAACTTGTATTCTGCATTTTGTATAATGTTATTCAGTATCCATTTCCATGAATCAAAAATATATAATAATTTCATTGGATCATATTGCCATCAAACACAAGGCTCGATGTGTAATTCTTAAATAAATGCAGTCCAGCATTCTTTCAAATGTGACAAAATGTTTGACTTGGAATCGCCAAATAAATAATTGATTTAACCGGCCAAGATATTTCTCATTTTCAGAGTGTTCACTCATGTTTCATAATAAGCTTTGTAGCCATGATGCATTTTTTTCAGCAGAATTAGAAAGTTATAGCATTTATGAATCACTAGGTAGATATTTATGTCTTGTTAATAGACAAATTTGACTTTTGAGTTTGAATTATGCTATTTGTACCCTATGAATTACACTCTTATTTATCCGACCTCATCCCTTCTCTCACATCGGGGTCGGGTCCCACCCCTATGTGAGGGAGGGAGTGGCCCGAGTAAACAAGAGTGTAATCCATAGGGTACATGTAAGTATGTAACAAGACTCTTTAAGTTTTAAGCATATAAATAAGGGAAAATTGCAGCAGCGGTCCCTAACCTTTTCATTTTTTTGCAGACTTTATCCTAACCTTTGTTTTGTGCCACCGCAGGTCCCTAACATTTTATAAATATGCACTGGAAGTTCATCTGGACAGAAACCGTCCAAATCACCGTTAGTCAATATGAAAAATTAAAAAATGAGATATTTTGACCATTTTAAGGAGGGACATTTCCGTTCATACAGTAATTTCCCTTTAAGAACAATAAATAAAAGTAAAAAAATCACCATTTTTTTAAAACACCCCAGAAAGATGAGAAGAAATTTCAACTTCGGCAAAAGAAACTTGAGTTGATCTTCCTCCCAAACCCTGGAATCAGTTTCAGAATCCATCAAATCTTCTAAAGTTCCAACTAGAAAGTCAATAAAGCTTGCTACAATTTCCTTTTTCTTGAGAGTAGTGTCAAACAAATGCTGCAGCTTTGGAAGCATAGTTATTAGATTCGACCCGAACATTGACTCGATCAAGATACTGGGTCATCGGGTTACTGGTCAAACCGGTGAACTAGTGGTCGGACCGGTGGATCATTTCTGAAAAATTATCTAAAAAAATTTATAAAGTATAATTTTTTTTCTTGAGACAATTAAAAATTTCAAGTTATTTGTTACAAATTATTTTTGTACCTTTAAATTAATATTTTTTGAACTCATTTATTAGTGATAAGGGTTAATTTCACAAATGGT